TAATTCTTTGTTAAAGAGAAATCAATATTTGCTCTTAGCTGAAAAGAAAGCTAGTTGGAAGAAGTTTGAGACAGAGGTATTTATACTTTGGGCTAGATGAAAAAGAATTCAAAATACTTCAAACTTTCTCCAGTTCTACATATTGACCTGTGTGAATCCATAAGTCCACAGAAAAGGATCATAATTCAGGTTTAAATGTCAAATTTTTCAGTGGCTATTTTCAGAAATAGCCACCCAGCTTATGAAAGGTAGCATAGCGATTTAAGTACAAGACAACCAGAATTATTTTGGACAATATGTTCAAAGGGAGGAGGGCAATATTTTAATTAGAAAACTCACACCAAACTGTTCTGCCTTGTACAATTAGATCTGTGCAGAATTCCAAACATGAAGGTCAAAGTCTGACCTCCCTCTCATGCATGCCCACATAGGGAACTAGCCAGCCGAAAACTCAGCAAGAGTTAAAATGAATATTTGCATCCTCAAAATCCCTAACAGTATGGATGTTCACATCCAAAGGCCTCTCTATGTTGTTACTGGGGGGTTTCTCTTCTATTTCATTTCTAATTTAGATAATCAGTGTCTCCACTACTCTACTGCTAGTTCATTTTATACATATGTAGTTCAAATAGTAAGTACTGGTATGCTAGAAAATCAGAGGAATAAAAGCAAAGTTCTCCATAATGGCCTACAGTGAATAATCTTGCTAAAGACAATTTACAGAGATGCTCTAACAAAAGTCATCAGAATCCTAAATTTAGCTTATTGCTACTGGAGTATCTAACAGTTGATGAACAGGCCAGAGTGTCTTTATTTTAATCTACAAATAAATGCTAACAATCTATACAGATGGGTTATTTTGCTCTATCAGTGCCTTACTCCCCTCCCACTAGCAAGTCTTTAAAGCAGATAGAAAATCCTATCCATGTACTGCCATCTCTTTCCCTTACTTTTTTCCTGTTTCCTACTTGTATCCTCTCTTGCACGAGTCAAATATCTGCTGGAAATCAAGCAGAAAATAGAAGGAATATCTATTTCAGTCTAGCCACCTTTCAGTGTGCTACAAACATAAGAGCCAATTAGTATCCCAATGCACACTGAGCCTCAGATATAATTACCTCCAAGCTGTACATCTCTCTCAGCATCTCCGTATTACTTCATGACAGAACTGTAGCAAAATTATATCATACTGGGCAAAACTGACACAAAAAAAGGGTAGAAAACTTTTATTTCTTATTATTATTTTCTAGTGTATTAGAATGTGTAATAATTCATGTTAATGTTTTCATCTGAAGCAAGCTTAATATGACCTCATTTAGTTTTGAAATGTTATTAAGATACCAACTTTCTCCTCCCTCCAGTTACTAGTTACTACCTACGGAAATATAAGCTATATCTCATTCATAATAGGTTTAAACATTGCTAAAAATGGAAAATTAACTTGCTTAGAGTTTCATTTTTGGACATGATTGTAAAATTTAAACTTACTATAGAAATGTATGACTTATTGCATAGATAATTCAAAACTGTGGACTGCTACATTACTCGAAACAAACTGGTACAGCTATTATTACCACTGAAAAAGCTAATGGATAACACAAACCTCAGAAGTACTCACGCCCAACAAGATTTGTTAAAGTGGCAGTAATTTGTCTAAGTAGCAGTTATCTGATTCGCAGGAAAAAAACCAACCAAACTTGCTAATGTGAGATGTAACTTGAAGACAACAAATTTAAAAAAAAACACAAAAAAAACCAAACAAACAAAAAACAAACAAACAAAAAAAATTTTACAATTTTTAATAAACTTTTTAAGAAATTAACCTTGATAAAGAAGGCTCAGAAAGGTGCATTCATGAAACGAGCAGGATGCATGTAGCCTGAAAGTGTGCATAATAATGTTCATGGAAACATAGCACCCTGTAACAGTGTTGCCAGGCTTAGGACACTGGAGACCTCAGTCCTCAGAGGACAGGCAGAAAAATAAGGATGCACATAAAGAAACAGCAAGAAAAAGGATGAAAAGGGGGGAGGGGGGGAAGGAATACTGAGGTCTGAAAAAGATCAAAATTAACCATTAACCTGAAAAAGTTAAATGGAAGTTGCAATTTCCAGATTCTGCCAATATCACTATGCAGATATTAAGAGGCATGAGAGGATTTTAAGAGGTAGGGATGTGGTACTATCAGAAGTGTTGGAATATTTTTTAGTGGAGAGATCCAGCTCTTACCTAAAGAACAAACTCTGTTATCTTCAAGTTTAGCCCTAACACACTTCATTTCTTCTGTTGCTTGTCCCAGAGCCACATCTGGCACACAAATATTGCCAGTATTTTGCTAGTGTTCCAAGTTTTTAAAGGAAAGGGTCATTTACAATAGGTAAGTTTCTCTGTACTGAAAGTATTTTAGAGTGTTCTGCAGAGCACATTTTGTAGTCTGCAATTCCTTATGAACAATGACTGGCTATGCCTAATTTGGATATTTTTTTCAGTCCTTCCTGACCAACCTAGAAGCTGATAAATTTAACCAAGTGGTCTTTGGGTCCAAAACGCGAACTGGAAGAACCTGAGAGAGAGGGCTGTAAGCCCAGGTCCTCACTACAAAGTAACTGGAGACTACCAAAACCACTATCCAAAGAATAATGAATTTAAAACCAAGAGAAGAGATAAAAGCATTAAAGCTTTCAGTAAATCAGCAGTTCTGCTTCTCAGCTTTCAAAGTATTTCAAGACTTGACAGCTGACTTGCCTTGGGTGTTCTTAAACATAGGAATAAATTTTCAGATTACCAAAATTCCGAGTGAGGACAGAAATAAGCAATTCTGGTCACAGAGATAGGCTTCTGCTCATGAGCTAGTTTTATAATTTGCTTAACAAATGGCTCCACCTCTGCAGAAGTACTTATTTCAAAAGAACACTCAGTGTCAAGTGCAATTCTATGTTCCAGTGCATTCCTTGATTGATGTGCCCATTTAACACAAATCATCTGAGAAAAACATTAAAATATTTTAAAAGGAATAAAGCTGCATATGATTTAGTCTGAAATCAGCCTAGGTCAGTCACTACGTTTCTGATAACCAAATGCCATTATTATTAGAACAGCATAATAGTGGAAGTCTGAGCACTGAACCAGTGAGAGGACAGAGAGCCGCTACACTGCAAATAGGATTTTAGCTTAATCAGAACCAGAAGTTCCACACACAATCATCCTCCCATTTCATTGGCATTCAGTAAGCACTAGGACGTGAACATTACAGAACACAGTCCAGACATTCCTTTTTCTGTGATTAAATGCAGATTTATGCCTTGCTCTAATTCACAATTGCTATTCCCAAAGCAATTCTACAGGAATCATATGCCTTGTTATGAAATAGTTTAAAACCAACAGCATGTCTTTTAGATTTTCCTCTGAACATTTAAGCACAAGTCCCCAAATAAGATTCACCAGACTTGTGACAACCACCGACTTCAACTTTTATATATACAGGAGGGTAATAAAGGCACAAATAAAACCAATTTAATAAACCCAAAATACTTGTAGTGCTCAAACTCCTGTTATATTCCTTGCAGGCATGCCAAGCAATGTACAAAATTACATAGATGGAAATGTACCTTTTAGAACTATTGTTAGAATACAAACACCAGGGAGTAAGACACACCGTAAGTAAACTTCGTTTCTGTTCAAGTTTTACAGGATGTCACTTCCAACAATGGCTTTCTGAGCAGAAATATGTACGTCTCCTTTCCTTTGCTGATCAAATTCAGAACACCAAATTGCTAATTTGCCTTCATTATCATCCTATGCATTTTCAAATGATCCACTTGCAAATCCAAGGAATTTCCAGCTTGTCCAACCAGCATGTTACAATTTTGATTCAGCTCCCTTCTGTTCAAGCCTAAGCAACCGTTTTTGCCACTGAGGAACTCCTATGTGAATTGCAGGTCTGGTGCTTCTTTTACTTATGCATAGCTCAGACAATGTAAAAAAAAGAGTGAAAATTAAAAATATTGTATAATCATATGCTTTCTTCAGTATCAATTCCATATTGGAGCTTTCATATATCAAAAAGCAAGGTGAAGGAGCACCATCTAGAAAAATACCATTTAACTTCCCTGCCAACCCAGTTTTATATATTCTTTCAGTACCTCTGCTGTTAATAAAAGAAAACAACACTTAGGGGTGTGTCTTGTTTATGAACACCAATATAATCATAGCACAAGTGTCTTCAGTGTACACGAGAATCATACCATCTTTTCAGCTTCCTGAGATTATCCTTAGCACGCACTCCCTGCAGTAGGTTTTTCCCCGCTTCTTTCTGCTATTGTCTTCACTTCCCTTTCTGAACACTCCAGTTATCCGCAGTTATTTCTTGATGTCAACAGTTCTAGTCATCATCATCTAATACAGACATATGGACACATGAATTTGGTCATAGACTTTGTGGATGATACATAGTTGCCTACTACTGTGCTCTTTCCTTGTTGAGGAATTACTTCCAGGATCAAGATCTTTCTGTATTAACCTAAGCTGTCTCCCAGAAAAGAAGTGCACAGAAACCCATTTGAAGTTGCATAGCTCATTTCTGAATAACCTAATATTTTTTTCCCCCAGTACTAATACTACCTCTATCAGATGAAAAATTGTCCCAAATTTTGTTTTTAGCCAAGAACAGTTAAAAATCTGAGATGTCAAAAACACCAGAAAAGTTTTCTACTGTACTACATAAATCACCTCACTGACTATGACCTTGAGCATTCTCATTATATCCCTTTATACAACTAACCATAACAATCTACTCAAACAACTACAGGGCAGGGAAAAGCTACAATCAGAACATCCTGTAAATAAATGCAACAGAACGGGCACCTAGAAAAGCTATAATCAAGGCAAATGTCCTGTTAACTTCTTCCCTTCCCGTGATCAGAGATAAATTGTTTAACAAGTATAACCATAATATATGCTGAAGTTCTACTTAGCACCATCCTGAGTCCTGTGTCATAAAATTTGTGCCAAATTCTGCTTTATAAAAAAATTCCCACAACTTTTAAAGCACATTGAGTTCTAAAATACCACAAAAATATCTTTACCCTGCTTATACAGAAATTACATCAATAAATCCCAGCAGAGCTTCCTTTAGGCAGGCACCTGCAGTGCTGTCACGTACTGTTCAGTGCCTACAGGAAAAGAAAAGAAGGAGAACTCTATAAGAAACTGGCTGCTGACGGGGCTTTTTGTTCTAGCTGTGTTTTGTTCTTATAAGAGTTTTCAAGGAAACGTGTTCTGAAGACGTTCTTCCAAATTATTTTTTCTTACTGAAGCAGCACTGTATCTCAGAAGCTATGTCGATATTTAATCATAAGGAAGGTTCCACAAGCAGTCATTTTCTCATTTCCTAACCTGATTACAAAGATTTTTATCCATATTTTAGTGCTAAGTGCTGGTATTTCAATGTCTAAGAATCTGCCTTCTAAAGTCAGCAGGAAACAAAAAAACAAACAAAAAAAAAAAAAAACAAAAAAAGAAAACCATATAAAACACACTCCACCCTTGATTTATAGCAGAATCAACAGCAATAAAGGGATACCTGATAAAACTGGGATGTACAGGTGCTGCATTATAAGTAGTAGCTTCAATTTGTCACAAAGCACTGAGGAAGTCTTTAGATCATTATTTTAATTCCTTTTAGAATAAGCACTTCCTTAATTTGAAGAAGTGGGAAAAAAAAAAACCAACGAAATTTTTAATCAATTTTAGCATATACACAAATAAGAATACAGTTTTACTCACAAGATCTAAATAAGCAAAGTACCACAGGTCACACACATCACGTCATAACTGTAACAAGTTTTATCATGCCAGTAAGTATTTAGGAAGAAATTTAGATTGAAGCATAGCAAGCAAGAAACTCTGAGCACACAGTCGTGCAGCCCAGACATCACAGTCCTTCTTTTGCATTTGAGGAAGCAGGAACTAATCCTAAAACCCACACCTGTCTGCAAAGGAACATTATTGCTTATAACAACACTAAGAGGTGCCTTGTGAGTCTTTAGGAAAATTCACACATCCTCCCTACTCAAACTAATAGTAACATATAAAAAAGTAGCATATATGAAGTCTTTCTGTTGCAGGGACTTGTTTATCTTTTAAATCTCCATGCACTAATATCCCATCCCTGCTTTTAACCCTCAACAAAACACCTTGGTGTTTGGTGGGGGGCAACAATTCAGAAAGGATGAAGCTTGCTATCTCCGTCTGTTTGACCATAAGCTGCACTTGCATACGGTCTCATGAAAAGGAGCAGGGCAAGACTTCACCAGTGACCCTTCAGAGTCCCAGACTCACACTATCAGTGGGCTTCCTGCCAGCCACCATCTGCTCAGGAGTTTGAGGAGCTGAGAAAGAGGGGGCTTGCTATCATGACAGCTCCAGCTTTGGCAAAACGGCTTTATTCCTTTGGCGAGACCACAGACTTCAAAAGACTTGATGCAGAGCACAGTTCAACAGTAGCTCCAGGTCTTTCTATCTCCCCACATTGCTGGGAGAAAAGGATTCTTTTCTCAAGCCTTTGATCAAATTTTAACAGTTAAATAACACTGGCTGAGCTTTTGTCCCTTTATAATCTGAGTGGTAAGTGAACAGAAGTCATTCTGACAGAACAGAAAAAAGTAGGGCTCACACACTTTCATGTTCACACTAGAACTGGCCTGCATGATATAAGAGGGATTCACCTAGCAGAGCTGGCAATTGTTTAGCCAAGGCACAGTCAAAGCAGTGCTCAAGGAGAACCATGCATTATATGGTCACTGTAAGCACACACACACACACAAGTACTCATTATTTCTAATGAGTATTGTAATTGCAATGTATTGTCATAAACATGAGACAAAAGAAACTGATCTTACAGTTACCTTCCCACCACTACCGAAGGAATCATAGAATCACAGATTCATAGAATGGTTTGGGTTGGAACAACTTTTAGATTATATTTTCATTGGAAAACTGTCATTTTGTCTACACATTCTAATGGAAACATAAAGCATCTGTTTCTTGGCATCCAAATACACTTGTGATTCATGGTTATTACATCAACTGTGTTCAATTTTGTGGTGCAAGACTTACTTTCAACCTATTGCTTTTTTACTTGCTAAAAAACACCTTGACCTGCAGGACAAAGCATCAGTGGTCTGTAGACCTTGTCCCTGAATGGGCACCGTGACCAAAATATTAGTAACTTCAATTCCATATTGGTGGGCCAATTCAAATAAATTCTACTGTAATGCTATTCTATATATGATGCTCTATGTATGATAGATGCAAGTACCTTTTGGATAAATAATAGCAAATAGTTAATGATATCTAATTAGATAACAAAGCCCTTCCTTCTTGTTAACCCCCACACACCGGTGTAGTAGAAAATCCAGAACATTTTAAATTTAATAATATTTTAAGACCTCATCCTCTACTACCTTCATGATGAGTTTTTGTTGCGACAAAAAAGAAACAACACACAAGCAGCTTAGTAAAAATGGCAAGTTCAGAGAGAAGCAGCAGAACGAGTGACCCAGCACTGTGAAGCAAGTCACTTGGTTTTCTGTTTACGGTGCAGTTACAGCCATTGAAGACCATGCTTCATATGCAAATTACCTTATTAACTAATGACAACTGTACTGAAGTTGTGGTTCAAAAATAAACTTCATTCTATTTTTTTAAGAGATTCTTCAAGGTGTAATTATAAGTATCAACTGGCTGGCCACAGGGCAAGTGGACTCAGCACTCATGAGCCATTCACTATCCCCCCAGTAAATATTATGTACATATATATACACACAGAGATACCTTTTCTGCCTACAGCAAGCTGACAAAATCTTATTTGTTTACAGTGAGTTGATCATCTGCAATAGCATATGCAGTGCAGTTGATGAGATTTTATCAATTTACTCACTGGCTAATTAGGATAATGTATTTGCCAGCTCCAGATCCTCAGCTAGCAGCCTTCTTATTTAATGGAGACTACAAGGCTGTGCCCTTAAATCGTAGCAAGTTTAAATTAGCTGAGCTGAGTTAAAAGCCAGTCAAGGAATGATTAGGTGAAGAATGTGCTGGGATTATTAAACTAAACAGGCCATCTGAAAATTCAGATGTGCTCTACAAAGACCTTGAAAGCTGCAAGAAACTCTTTGATGTTCTCTATCATAGACAGAGTGCTTCACTGAAGGCTACAGCCATATGGCATGGTATTATCAGACATAGCTCCTTTCAGAGGTCACTGTTATGGACAAGCACTAGACTCAAGACTGTCTTCCTGAACATATTTTGCAACATAGCTTCACTTTGAAACTGCCTTTCTTATGACCTCTAGGTTATGTCACTGCAACATTGTCTACTTGGGGCCACTGTGAAATACTATTCACATTTTCATACTCTAATTACCATTAAAACAATCTGAAAACCCCTGGGGCTGTTTCACGCTTGCCACATCCTGCAACATGTAATCTGTAAAAAATAACCATACTAAAACACAGAGGACTAAGACATCTATGTAACCCACTGAATCCTGCCTTCCTCTCACTGCTTTAGGACAAAACACAGATACTACTCATCTTATGCTGCCACTCTAAAATAAAAGTAGGCTTAAAGAATTCCTTTCCCCAGTGGGAGGCAAAAAACAAATAGACTTTCTGTTGCCCACTTGTAGACAAATTAAGTAGCAATTCTTTCAGCCTCTCCTGCCCCAGCTCCTGCTCTTTGTTGGCTCAAGTTTTCCAGTATTGCTGACAAATCTAAGACAATAGGTGAAAAATCTTACCTGAAATACAGAGAAAGTCACAAGAAACCTGCAGTCACTCTTTTATAGACGCATTTCCTGTTAATAGCACACATTAAAAGCAAAGACACAAAGCACTCGAACAGGTGACCCAGCATAGCAGAAAAACAACACAGTCTAACACTTGACTTCTTCCCTTCCCAAACATCTATCCAATGAGCAATCCATGCTAGGAATAGGCATGTCAGGTGTTTTCCATCTAAAACGGTAATGGAGGCAATTAAGCTTTACTTAGAGTATGCTGTAAAAGCAGCTTTCTCTATAGGATACATTCAAGAGAGGCAGTAGCCCATTCAACTAGGACTGCTTTACACAGTTGTTTGCTTCTAAGCCTTTATTTATTGTGTTTAAGAGTAGTTGATAAAAGGATTTCTTTGCTTATTCCTTTAGCTGTTAGACTGAGCTAAACCTTCTCTATTATTCTGAACTTGGAAATTTAGGTGCAAGTACCACACAAATGAAAAGCAATTATTTTAATCCAAGGCAGCTGCAGAACACATATTGTTCTATAGCTCAGCAAAAAAAAAGTCACTTTGATTTTTTTTTTCTTTTAGTGTTCCACGCTGCAGTTTGCCTTCAGATAGAAACAATGGGATTACAGAGAGAGAAACAGAGCCAGCTGAATTAAAATGGGACCTGCAGATATTAAAGACAACCACAGTAATAGTTTGAGGAGTGCACTAACAAGATACACTATCATTTTATTGATTAGAAGAATTACAATTTTATATGAACAATCCAACCTAAGTAAAATTGTAACAAAGTTTAAGGTAGTGTTTTTTTTAGTTCAAAAGTAAAAGTGAACCTCCATGCTAGTTTGTATAAACATGTGGTATTTTATGCATACATAGAATCATAGAATAGTTAGGGTTGGAAAGGACCTTATGATCATCCAGTTCCAACCCCCCTGCCAAGGGCAGGAATGCCTCACACTAGACCATGTCACCCAAGGCTCTGTCCAGCCTGGCCTTGAACACTTCCAGGGGTGGAGCATTCACAATTTCCTTGGGCAACCCATTCCAGGGCCTCACCACCCACACAGTAAAGAACTTCTTCCATATATCTATAGTGAACTTCCCCTAGTTAGGTTTGAACCCATTCCCACTTGTCTTATCACTATAGTCCCTAATTAAGAGTCCCTCTCCAGTGTCCTTGTAGGACCCCCTGCTTGAAGGCTGCTATGAGGTCTCCAAGCAGACTTCTTTTGTTTCATTTCTTTGTTAGCCATTATAACGTCAGAACAGTGTTTGAACACTAGACACTAACAAGAAACTGCAATAACTTGTGACAATACAGTGTACAGCTCTATTTTCCACTACAGTTACGTGGGGTTATTGTCTGCCTTTTTTTACAGGGGGGTGAGGGTGAGAAGAAGGGGAGAACATCTGTTTTGTCTTTAAAAAAAAAAAATTAAAAAAAAATTCAGCCTCAAATCATCTATTTCATTTACTCTTTCTGAAGTCAGGATAGCCTGTAGTACGTTACCATGATACATGCTGCAAAGTACAAGAATAAAAACCTGGGTAAAAACTACAGCAAGCATTTCAGCAGAACTACAAGAGTTCACTGTTGCAGCTGATACAAGAAAGGGAGTTCCTTAATCTCAGGTAGCATTACAGCAATGTTTTACAAAATGACCCTGGTTTTTATGCTTGCTAGCTCTCTTCACCTGATAGCTAGCTATAGGGGTCTACTCTTACTGTATTTCATACAGAATTATTCCTTTGAAAATATCAAAGGAATATCAAGCTTGGTTTCTATACACTGGCAACAGTGGCTATGCTTGGCTCTTCCCTGCTGTCATGGTTTAAATCCAGTCAGGCAGCTCGTTCACTCATTCCTCCCCTTCTTTCCCTTCCCCTACTCCCGGAGGGACGGAGAGGAGAATCAAAAAGAATGCAACTCCCACGGGTTGAGATAAGAACAGTTTAGTAACTAAGGTATAACACAAATCACTACTGCTACCACCAATGATAACAATGATAAAGGAAATAACAAGGGAAGAGAATACAACACCTCAGCACTAGCCAACCGGTAACTCGCCCCCGCCAGCCTGACCAAGCACCAACCGATACTTCGTCCAACCCCGCAGTTCCTAGCCCTTCCGGGTAACTCTCAGTTACATCCTGGGCATGACGTGCTGTGGTATGGAATACCTCTTTGGTCAGTTTGGGTCAGGTGTCCTGTCTCTGCTTCCTCCCACCTTCCCCTCCTCCCTGGCAGAGCATGAGGCTCACAAAGTCCTTGGCCAAACCAAAACATCAGTGTTATCAGCTCTGTTCCCAGGCCGAAAGTCAAAACACTGCACCGCACCAGCTACCAAGGAGGAGAAAAATGACTGCTACTGCTGAACCCAGGACACCTGCCTAACATAAAACCTGAACACCTGAATGTGGAGAGCTGAATTCATTTCCCTTTCACTATGAGTACATCATATGAGCCCTTCGGTTCTTATCCAAGTACTAAATATGTTCAGATTTAAAAAATTAATTAAATACCAGTTAGTTTGTAACTGTTCAAAATCCATGGTTATTTTTTGGGTGCTGCCGATGTTTGTGACACTGAAGACAGTTGTTGATGGGACAGCATACGCTGTTTATAAATGATATTTCATTACATAGTTCAAACACTCATTGCTTTTGGTATAAATCTATGAAACTCTCCATATTTAAACAGCAGCTTAACTCCACCCACTTTATCTGGAATGATGCCCAAGCAAGTAGAAAGAGAGTCAGGATAAGTGTGTTTGTATTATCCCAGTCACAGGCTTTTTTTTTTTTTTCTGTTCAGTACTGTTCCGTATTTAAACCCAATCACATAAACACTTTCATTTTCTTACATAGCTCAGTATGCATGGTTTTGAACTACTTACACAGTAACATTTTCAATATTCTGAAGGGCTGCACCAGTGCTTGTCCCCTCCCACCCCCCCACCCTGTAGGAGCCAGTAGGCATCTTTTAGTTCTTGAAACACAACCACGAAGAAGAAAACACCACCTGAATTGTTCCCAATGCAGCACAGCTGTAGCACTAAAGGACCAGGAGCTACCAGGTACTTTTATGAAAAATCCTTTGGTTTTTAAGCCGGTAATGCTTAGCTTTTGAGGAGAGCACAGTTCACATCTTCTGACTAGCCCCTACCTCTTTCTTGAAGGACTTTAAGAACTTTAATACATCTCACTGCTAGGAATCACTGACTCCACTCTCCTACCAAACAAAAGCACTGCCTTTCCCTAAGAAGCACGGCTTTTCCCTACAGAAAGTCAAGATCCAGAAGTCACAAACCCAGTTCCTCAGAGAATAATTTGATCTGTTATTATGCTGAAACCAGGAACAATGTTTAAGAGAATGCAAGGAGGGAAAATGTGCTGATTAAATTCACCGTATCATTTAAATCTCCAGGCATGGATGTGCCATTTCAAGTGCTGGGATATGCAAAAGGATTAGGGGCTTGATTAGCACTTAAGCCCTGATGCAGAAAAGGTCTTAACACATGTTTAACTTTACACACATGAAGTCACAGCAACTTATCTGACCTACTGAGGGAAATAAGCTATGACATGCTTAAGCATCCTGTATCACCCAGAGCTGAACTCTTCTGCTTCTGGTGGGATCTCACTTCACATCCTTTTATCCAGAAGGACTTCAGAATTCTGAGAAATGGAAGAGGTGCAGTTTGCACCACTGCTGTGCTCCCTCACCAAGGTACTGCTTCCCATAAGGGCAACAAATCGCGTGGTTTAGTTGGAAATTAAGAAATAACATGACCTACAATAATCTCACACAGTGCATAGGTACAGAGTAACTCAGGATAAGAAGACTGTTGAACTCTATTCAGTATAAAATATGATATGCATTCAGGTAAAAGCCAGAAGACTCAGCATAACCCAGTGGAGCTATTACAATTATACCTTCACCTAGAAGAAAACAAGGAAGACCTTGGTTAGTAGGAATTTGCTAACATTTCCTCAATGAGGACATACTGACAGATCAAGGTCTTTACTTTCACAGGACCAAACTCACTGCTGTTGCAGCAACAGCAGGTCTGCTGTGCAACTGTGTAAGAACATGGATAAAAAATGTTTCAGGATCAAACATTCTTGTATTCAGGATCATACATACTTGTAATAAATGTATGTTACAAGAAATCAATTTCCAGATTTTAGTTCTTTTATGAAACATGATTTGGATTAAATGAACTGATAAAAGTTCAGTTGCAGTAATGTAATTCGATACACTTGATTATGCAATAACTTAAATGAATGATACTGTTTTTTCTTGGGTTTTTCCCCAAGAAGTACAGTGAGACACCCTGAGTTGATATACCACCACTGCAGAGTTTCTGTAACATGATTTCTGATTCAGCACTGCTGCTACTGCTGCAATAACTAAACCAGACAGAATCAATGAGTTGTAAGGTCAACTCCCAGTCCCATGACTTTCTTATCAGCCTAAGGTTAAGATTTAAAGTATGTAAGGATGGACCCAAGAAGAATTTAAGGTCCTAAATTTAAGGATCTAAAGTGAGACACAGGGAAACTTTATTAGTGTTCCCGAGGGTCAAAGCAAACCAGATAAGCTGATTTCTCTGGCATGAAAGTAAAAGGAGGAAGTTAATGGAGAAAAGAAGCTCCTCAAGACCAATTAACATATTATTATGAAATCATGCCAAATCTGCAGGGTTTGCAGCACAATGTGAAACTGTGCCATCTTTGAGAATTCAGAGGCATTCCTGCCTGAAAGGGGTGCTTTTAGCCATAAACGCATCACTGGTGGTGTGAGAATAACAGGATAACACATGCAGACTTCCATGTAATTCAGAAGTACAATGAGTCTTTCTTCTTAGCTCATATTGGTCTTGAGCCTGTTGTTATCCTTATATTGACAGCAAGCAACTAGTGACCCCTGGTATGGTGCAGTGGGTCTCTGGAAGAGATTCAAAAGCTCTAGCTCGCAATAGAAGCACGAGCTTCCTTCCTGAAAAATATACAGCACATCATGACGGCATGTGCACATTTGGGTTTCAGACAGATAAAAGCATGAATATTTTACCAGTAAGTAGTGAATGCCCAGATCTTGCTGTCACATGAGGATGCAGAGGCAGTGTCAGGGAATTAGAAAAGAGATTAAAGAAAT